GCCTAGGATGGTCTGGAACTTTTGGCCTTTGGGTCTCTCAAAGTGCTGGGAATACAGGCATGATCCACCAGGCCTGGCCAACTTTTGATAATGTGAAGTTAGATCATTCAAACGTTAAAGCTGTTGGAACTTTAAATTATTCTGAGCGTTGAGAGGAATGCTGCTATGTAGCCTGAGTCACGTAGCATGCAGTCACAACTTCTGCTTTTTCCTGTAAATGATTAAGAATGACCAAGCAGTGCCAGAGATAAGATCACCTCAGAACATTGCTCCTAGCCCAGGCGCTGTGGCCTCATGCTTATAATCCCAGCACTTTGAGAGGCAAAGTGGGAGGATCGCTTGAGCCCAGGAGTTTGAGACAAGCCTGGGCAACATAGTGAGACCACATTTCTACAGAAAAATATATTAATATATTAAAAAATTAGCTGGGCATGGTGCACATGCCTGTAGTTCCAGCTACTGGGGAGGCTGAGGTGGGAGGCTTGAGCCTGGGAGTTTGAAGCTGCAGTGAGCTGTAATTCTGCCACTGCAGTTCCACCTGGGTAACAGAGCAAGATCTTATCTCAAGAAAAAAGAAAGAAAAAGAACGAATATTCCTCCTCCTCACAGAATGTGAACGCAATCTTCCTTGCAGTATAGCAAGCTGTTCTAATGAAATTGCTTTTTTTTTTTTTTTTTTTGAGACGGAGTTTCGCTCTTGTTACCCAGGCTGGAGTGCAATGGCGCGATCTTGGCTCACCGCAACCTCCGCCTCCCGGGTTCAGGCAATTCTCCTGCCTCAGCCTCCTGAGTAGCTGGGATTACAGGCATGTGCCACCATGCCCAGCTAATTTTTGTATTTTTAGTAGAGACGGGGTTTCACCATGTTGACCAGGATGGTCTCGATCTCTTGACCTTGTGATTCGCCCGCCTCGGCCTCCCAAAGTGCTGGGATTACAGGCTTGAGCCACTGCACCTGGCCCTGAAATTGCTGTTAACATACATACTGGCCTTGTAGCCTGGAATAAATTCTATAGTTAATCATATTTTCTTTTCTTTTTTTTTTTTCCTTTTTGAGAGTGGGAGTCTTGCTCTGTCACTGAGGCTGGAGTGCAGTGGGGCGATCTCTGCTCACTGCAACCGCCACCTCCCAGGTTCAAGTGGTTCTCCTGCCTCAGCTTCCAAAGTAGCTGAGATTACAGGCATGTGCCAGCACACCCAACTAGTTTTTTTTTTCAGTAGAGATAGGCTTTCACTATATGTCCACCAGGCTGGTCTGGAATTCCTGACCTCAGGGTATTCACCTGCCTCAGCCTCCCAAAGTGCTGGGATTACAGGTATGAACCAGTGAACCTGGCCTTAATCAGATTTTCTGAATCTCATTATTTATGGTGAGCAATAATGTTTTTCTTTCTTTCTTTCTTTCTTTTTTTTTTTTTGAGACGGAGTTTCGCTCTTGTTACCCAGGCTGGAGTGCAATGGCACGATCTCGGCTCACCGCAACCTCCGCCTCCTGGGTTCAGGCAATTCTCCTGCCTCAGCCTCCTGAGTAGCTGGGATTACAGGCACGTGCCACCATGCCCAGCTAATTTTTTGTATTTTTAGTAGAGACGGGGTTTCACCATGTTGACCAGGATGGTCTCGATCTCTTGACCTCGTGATCCACCCGCCTCGGCCTCCCAAAGTGCTGGGATTACAGGCTTGAGCCACCGCGCCCGGCATTTTTCTTTTATTTAACATGGATACATGGGAGCCTTCAAAATGAAGACCCAGCCAGGTGCAGTGGCTCATGCCTATAATCCCAGCACTTTGGAAGGCCAAGGTGAGCGGATTACCTAAGGTCAGCAGTTTGAGACCAGCCTGGCCAACATGGTGAAACTCATCTCTACTAAAACACAAAAATTAGGTAGGAGGTGCAAGCGAGGTTGTGCAGAGCCTTGGGATGCCTGGTAAGACTCTGGCTTCTGCCCTGAGTGAAATGGGGACCACTGGAGGGGTCTGAGCAGATGGGACCTGACTTAGGTGTTCAAGGGGTCCCAGCTGCATGCAGGGTACAGACTAGGTGGGCTGGGGAAGGGGGTCCCAGAGACAAGGTTCCTGTCAGGTGAGAGATGAACTTGGACAGATCGAGGTACTGGGTGAGACAGAGGTGAGAAGTGGGATTTAGGATGTATTTCTTTCTCTTTCTCTCTCTCTTTTTTTGAGACAGAGTTTTGCTCTTGTTGCCCAGGCTGGAGTGTAAAGGCTCAATCTCAGTTCAGCGAAAACTCCGCCTCCTGGGTTCAAGCAATTATCCTGCCTCAGCCTCCTAGTAGCTGGGATGACAGGTGCACACCACCACGCCCAGCTAATTTTTGTATTTACAGTAGTGACAAGTTTCATCATTTTGGCCAGGCTTGTCTCGAACTCCTGACGTCAAGATCCACCCACCTAGGCCTCCCAAAGTGTTGGGATTACAGGCGTGAGCCACCACGTCTGGCCAAGATCTTTTTTTATTTGTTTGTTTCCCCAGCTCCAGCTTAAAGAAAAGAAACATCATTTAAAAATGAAATCTGCCGGGCGCGGTGGCTCATGCCTGTAATCCCAGCACTTTGGGAGGCCAAGGCGGGTGGATCACGAGGTCGAGAGATCAAGACCATCCTGGTCAACATGGTGAAATCCCGTCTCTACTAAAAATACAAAAAATTAGCTGGGCATGGTGGCACGTGCCTGTAATCCCAGCTACTCAGGAGGCTGAGGCAGGAGAATTGCCTGAACCCAGGAGGCGGAGGTTGCGGTGAGCCGAGATCGTGCCATTGCACTCCAGCCTGGGTAATAAGAGCAAAACTCCGTCTAAAAAAAAAAAAAAAAAAAAAGTGAAATCTCAGCTGGGTGCAGTGGCTCACTCCAGCTTGGGCAACAGAGCAAGATTGTCTCAAAAAAAATACAAAAAGTTGCTGGGGCCGAGAAAGGTGTCTCATGCCCGTAATCCCAGCACTTTGGGAGGCTGAGGCAGACAAATCACATGAGGCCAGGAGTTCAAGAGGAGCCTGGTCAACATGGTGAAACCCCATCTCTACTGCAAATACAAACATTAGCCAGGCACAGTGGTGGGCACCTGTAATTCCAGCTACTCAGGAGGCTGAGACAGAAGAATCGTTTGAACCTGGGAGGTAGAGGTTGCAGTGAGCCAAGATCACGCCATTGCACTCCAGCCTGGTGACAGCGGGAGAGTCTGCCTCAAAAAAAAAAAAAAAAAAAAAAAAAAATACCCAAACAACAACAACAAAAACAAAATTATAAAGAAGGGGCAACATTTCAATCGGGTAACATTAACAATTCAATGGACTATTTCACCAGCAGATATATGCGTTAATTTTTGTAGAGACAGGGTCTTGCTATATTTGAACTTCTGGACTTAAGAGCTCTTCCTGCCTCAGCCTTCAAAAGGGCTGAGATTACAGGCATGAGCCACTGCGCCTAGCCAATGGTAGCTTTTAAATACTTGTATCTATTGGCCAGGCTGGGTGGTTCAGTCTGTAATCCCAACAGTTTGGGAGGGCGAACTGGGAGGACAGCTAGAGTCTAGGAGGTCAAGACAAGACTGGGCAACATAGCAAGACTCTATCTGTTTTTTTTGTTTGTTTGTTTGTTTGTTTTTTGAGACGGAGTCTCGCTCTGTACCCCAGGCTGGAGGGCAGTGGCGCGATCTCGGCTCACTGCAACCTCCGCCTCCTGGATCCCGGTTCAAGCAATTTCTCCTGCCTCAGCCTCCCGACTAGCTGGAATTACAGGCCCAAGCCACCGCGCCTGGCAAGACTCCATCTCCTAAAAATAAAATAAAATAAAATAAAATAAAATAAAATAAAAAGAATTAGCCAGCCGTGATTGCGCACGTCTGTGATCCCAGCTACTGGGAGGCTGAGGCAGGAGGACCCCTTGAACTCAGAAGTTAAGAGGTTGCATGAGCTGTGATCGAGCCACCGTACTCCAGCTTGGGTGACAGAGACCCTTTGATGGGACCTGATGACTGGCTGGATGCGGGAAATGATGGCATCTAGGATGACATCCAGGCATAACATCTCCATTTCTTTTTTTTTTTTTTTTTTTTTGAGACGGAGTTTCGCTCTTGTTACCCAGGCTGGAGTGCAATGGCGCGATCTCGGCTCACCGCAACCTCCGCCTCCTGGGTTCAGGCAATTCTCCTGACTCAGCCTCCTGAGTAGCTGGGATTACAGGCACGCACCACCATGCCCAGCTAATTTTTTGTATTTTTAGTAGAGACGGGGTTTCACCATGTTGACCAGGATGGTCTCGATCTCTTGACCTCGTGATCCGCCCGCCTCAGCCTCCCAAAGTGCTGGGATTACAGGCTTGAGCCACCGCGCCCGGCTTCCATTTCTTTATTGAAAAATCAATCAATAGGAAAGAGGATTTTCTGCAAATAAGGGGATCTAAGTTCCTCATTTCTCTTCGCTACCCCAACCGCTCCTTGCTCAGAATCAAGCAGTAACAGTGAACTAGGTAGTAGATCCGAGGAGGTTGGACTTATCGGACCTTGAGAAGCCTAGCGGAACTCTTAAAACGGAAGCGGAACCCACTTCCCAACTTCTCCACTCTCAGAATGAGAATTGATTTTTTTGCTTTGTTTTCCAGTTATAAGGCAGGGGATGTACAAGAGGTCCTAGAAGGAATTCCCCCTTGGTCCTGGCTCAGGTCTCTGATTTGTGATCCCAGACCACAGAGAGCTCTTAGGTGGGTTGGAGCAAGGAGGGGTGGGCGGAGCACAAAGCGGTGAGGGATCTGCTTTTTTGGTAAAGACGATAGCTAGGAGAACGTACACTCAAACTTCCTCAGCCACACTCAAGATGGCAGCTTCCTAGCCACGCCCAAAATGGCGGAATCCTTTGCCTTGGCTGGAGAGATGCTATTTTCCCAAAACTGAGCGAGAAGAAAACGTCCATCATAGCTTTACACACACACGCCCCTCCCCCCCGCCCCCACCGCGGACTGCTAGCACCAATCAGTGGCGCCCTGGCGGGTACAAGGCCAGGGGAGGAGCCTGCTGTTGCCCCAGCAACAACCAGGGAACCCAAGGCGACAGCGACCTCAGAAGTATTGCGGCTTCCATCTCTCGCAGACAGGAAGGTCCTGGGAGAGGCGCGAGGCAAGCCTGGTCGGCGCCCGCGGAGAAAAAGACAAGTCAAACCCACGAACTACAAACCTCGTTACCGCGTTCGCGTCTCCTAACCGTTAAGGGCGCCAAGGTAGGAATAACGCATGCGCGATGCCTAGAGGCGGGGCTAAGACGGCCCTGAACTCAGAACGCATGCGCCTTATGGAGCTGGGGGGAGGGGGGTCGGAGGGCGGACGTTACGCGGGAGGCGGGGATTTTGCTCTCGTGGGCGGGGCCCTCCGCGGAATTGAACCCAAAGAAGTTATTTTAGACCTCGCAGAATTAAATGCTGGCTCCCCAGACAAGGTTTCCCTCATTTTTTCCAGGCTTTCCTGGGTTGGCAATTAGGATCTGTGGCCAAGACCTCAGCCCCAGGGGTTTGACGAAGGTAGCTTGGAATCCTAGTACTACCCTTTACCTGGTGAGGCTCAGTTCCCCGCTCCCTCGCCCCCCAACCATCAGATGGAGATAAAACACTCACCTCACAGGGTTGTGATTATATTTTTCCTCCCAGGGCCATGGCTGAGGTGCATGTGATCGGGCAGATCATGGGGGCCAGCGGTTTCTCGGAAAGTAGCCTCTTCTGCAAGTGGGGCATCCACACAGGTATCCCCCCAGGCCTGGTTCATTTCCACACCAAGACCCCTAGCCTAGAGGCTGCATGCTCCTTCCTCGACCCCTTAATGCAGCCTCTTAACCTCATCTTCCATCAGCTCTGAGTACTCCAGTCCCAGCCCACACCCTGTCCACCTGAGTCTCAAGCTCCTGGTTTTTTTTTTTTTTGGAGGGGAGGGAGGACAGACAGGCTCTTTGTCGCCCAGGCTGGAGTAAGGTGGTGTGATCATAGCTCACTGCAGCTTCCAACTCTCGAGCTCTAGTGATCCTCCCACCTCAGCCTCCCGAGAAGCTGGGACTACAGGCATGCACCACTAAGTCTGGCTAATATTTTTATTTTTTATACAGATAGGATCTCGCTATGTTGCCCAGACTGGTCTTGAACTCCTGGGCCCAAGCAATCCACCCACCTCCGCCTCCCAAAGTGCTGGGATTACTGAGTCATCATGCCCCAGGAAAGTCGTGTTTTTCATGCTTCCCCAGCTGAGGCCCTGTAGAGTCCTGGTATAGTGTAATGTTTAGGGCCATGGGCTGCCATAACTGGTTTTAAATGCTGACTCCCCACCTATGAATTGGAAACCTTTGGACTTGACCTGTTTGAGCCTCAGTTTCCTTGTCTGAAAGTGAAGCTGACAGCAGCTAAGAAGCAGCACAGGGCTAGGTTAAGAGCATAGACTGCCTGGGTTCAAAACCAGTTATTGCTTCTTTTTTTTTTTTTTTTTTTTTTTTTTTTTTTTGAGATGGAGTTTTGCTCTTGTTACCCAGGCTGGAGTGCAATGGCGCAATCTCGGCTCACCGCAACCTCCGCCTCCTGGGCTCAGGCAATTCTCCTCCCTCAGCCTCCTAAGTAGCTGGGATTACAGGCACGCGCCACCATGCCCAGCTAGTTTTCTGTATTTTTAGTAGAGACGGGGTTTCACCATGTTGACCAGGATGGTCTCGATCTCTTGACCTCGTGATCCACCCGCCTCGGCCTCCCAAAGTGCTGGGATTACAGGCTTGAGCCACCGCGCCCGGCAGTTATTGCTTCTTAATGCAACCTTGGCCTAGGGGAAGTTGAAGTGGGCAGATCACTTGAGGTCAGGAGTTCAAGACCAGTCCAGCCAACATGGTAAAACCCCGTCTCTACTAAAAATACAAAAGAATTAGCTGGTCATGGTGGTGGGTGCCTGTAATCTTAGCTACTCAGGAGGCTGAGGCAGGAGAACCTGGAAAGCAGAGGTTGCAGTGAGCCGAGATCGTGCCTCTGCACTCCAGCCTGGGTGATGGAGCGAGACTCTCTCAAAAATAAATAAATAGGCTGGGCTCAGTGGCTCAAGCCTGTAATCCCAGCACTTTGGGAGGCCGAGGCGGGTGGATCACGAGGTCAAGAGATCAAGACCATCCTGGTCGACATGGTGAAACCCCGTCTCTACTAAAAATACAAAAAATTAGCTGGGTATGGTGGCGAGTGCCTGTAATCCCAGCTACTCAGGAGGCTGAGGCAGAAGAATTGCCTGAACCCAGGAGGCAGAGGTTGCGGTGAGCCGAGATTGCGCCATTGCACTCCAGCCTGGGTAACAAGAGCGAAACTCCGTCTCAAAAAAATAAATAAATAAATAAAAATAAATAAATAAAGGAAATGAGTGCAGTTGGGCATGGTGACTCACCCCATCCCAGCACTTTGGGAGGCTGAATTAGATGGATCAGATGAGCTCAGGAGTTTGAGACCAACCTGGGCAACATAGTGAGACCCCTGTCTCTACAAGAAGTAAAAAAGTAGCAGGGCATGATGGTACGTGCCTGTGGTCCAAACTACTCGGGAGGTTGAGGTGGGAGGATTGCTTGAGCCTGGGAGGTTGAGGCTGTAGTGAGCTGTGATTGTGCCACTGCACTCCAGCCTGGGTGACAGAGGGAGACTTTGTCTCCAAATGAAAAAAAAAAAAAAAAAAAAAGAGGCCAGGTGCAGTGGCTCATGCCTATAATCCCAGCACTTTGGGAGGCCAAGGTGGGTGGATCATGAGGTCAGGAGTTCGAAGTTCGAGACAGGGCGAGACTCTCTCTCTCTCAAAAAAAAGAACACTGTGATTACAGACAGTGGTAAATGCTAAGATGAAAAGCATGATGTGACAGGGACCTGTGTTTGGAGAAGAGGGACAGGGAGTACTCCTCTGTGGAAGTGCATGTGAGCTGAGCCCTGAAGGATGAAAACAAGCTAAGGATGGGGACACCCAGGAGCAGAGCTTTCCAGGCAGAGGGAACAGCCAGTGCAAAGGCCCTGAGGTAGGGAGACAGAAGTGGGACCAGTGAGGCCAGAGGGTGATGACGGAGGGGGAAAGTGATGGGAGATGAACTCAGGGAGGGGAGCAAGAGCCAGGCCATGGAGGCCATGGTGGAGAGTCTATAAACGGGGTGAGGAGGGGATTAAGAATCCTATAGGGTGGATTAAATGAATGCATTGGCTAAATTGCTTAGCATAGTATCTGGGATTTTGTAAGTATTCAGTGCATTTTTCTTTTTTTCCCTACTTTTTTTTTTTTTTTTTTTTTTTTTTTTGGACACAAGAGTTTTACTCTGTTGCCCAGACTGGAGTGCAATGGCATGATCTCGGCTCACTGCAACCTCTGCCTCCTGGGTACAAGCGATTCTCCTGCTTCAGCCTCCTGAGTAGCTGTGATTACAGGCACGTGCCACCACGCCTAGCTAATTTTTTTATCTTTGGTAGAGATGTGATTTCACCATGTTAGTCAGGCTGGTTTCAAACTCCTGACCTCATGGTCCGCCTGCCTCAGGCTCCTAAAGCGCTGAGATTACAGGTATGAGCCAGCACACCTGGCCACTCAGTGCATTTTAACTATCACCACCCCTTAGTTGCATCTAAATTGTTACGTGTGTTTTAGGATGTGCTTCTGGAGGGTACCCTTGGCCCCATCTTCATCCTTGGACTAGGCTTGTAAATGTGGGGTGAGAATAGTAAGATGATATTGAAGACTTATGCCACACTCACTGTGCCCCCTGCAGTGTTCCAAGGGCTTTATATTAACTCACTCAATTGTCTCACCAAACTATGAGTGCTGTGGTTTGAATGTGTGTTCCCTCCAAAACTCATGTTGAAACTTAATCCCCAATGTGGCAGTATTAAGAGGTAGGGCCTTTAGGAGGTGATTAATCCCTTCAGAACCCCCATGAGTGGATTAATCTATTCATGGATTAATGGGTTAATGGATGACTGCATTATCATGGGAGAGGACTGGTGGCTTTGTATAAAATGAGAAAGAGAAACCAGAGTGGCATGTTGGCACACTAGCCTTGGGAATCTTTGGAGAGTCCCCCCAGCAAGAAGGCTCTTACCAGATGGGACCCCTCCACCTCGGTTAGTCTCCCATAACTGTGAGATAGAAATTCCTTTTCTTTATAAATTACCCAGTTTTGGATATTATGTTAAGAGTAACAGAAAACAGGCTGGGCGCGGTGGCTCACGCCTGTAATCCCAGCACTTTGGGGGGCAGAACACGAGGTCAGGAGATCGAGACCATTCTGGCCAACAAGGTGAAATGCCATCTCTACTAAAAATGCAGAAATTACCTGAGTGTGTGGTATGTGCTTGTAGTCCCAGCTACTCGGCAGGCTGAGGCAGGAGAATCACCTGAACCTGGGAGGCTGAGGTTGCAGTGAGCCGAGCTTGTGCCACTGCACTCCAGCCTGGCGACAGAGCGAGATTCTGCCTCAGGAAAAAAAAGAAAAGAAAAGAAAAGAAATGAAGACAATGAGGAATGCGTTATTACTCACCCATTTCACAGATGGGAAGACTAAGGCAGAGAAAGGTAACTTGCCTAAGGTTGCATAGGCAGGAAGAAGTAATGCCAGGATTTGAACCCAGATATTTGGCTTCAGAGTCCATGCTTCATAACCGCTATGAGCAGATGCCACAGAGAAACACAGTCCTGTAGCCACAGCAGCATCCCCTTCCCAGTGGCTGCCTCCCACCCCTCTATGTCCTGGCTCTCATTGCAGGGGCGGCGTGGAAGCTCCTGTCAGGTGTGCGGGAGGGCCAGACACAGGTAGATACCCCCCAGATAGGGGAAATGGCCTACTGGTCCCACCCCATCGACCTGCACTTCGCCACCAAAGGTCTTCAAGGTGGGTACTACTGCTGGGCGCGGGGCCAGGCTGAGGGGAGGGGGCCAGTAGCATCTGAAGCCCCTGGGGCTGGAAACACCAAGACCTGTCCCTGCTTCGCATACCACGTGGGTGCCTTTGGCAGCCAAGTCTGGCCCTGGAGAGGCTGAGCTAAGGCTTTCCCAGGCCTGCTCAATAGTAGATCCCAAGTTTGTAGAATTAGGGCTGAGGCCAGGTTGGAGGGGGAGATGGGAAGGTGGGGGTCAGGGTGGGAGGGGAGGTGGCATTCAAGTAAAGAGACGAACCAAGAGTCTCCAATACAGAGGAAGCCGGGAGTCAGGGTCTGAGAGTGGCAAGGGCTGGTTCTCTAGGAAGGAATCCTCAGCTTAAAAATAGACCGCTGCTCAAAGGGGAAATGAGTCGTGGGGGAGGAGCTGCATCAGAAAACCTTTCTGGTTTTTTTTGGAGACAGAGTTTCACTCATTTCCCAGGCTGGAGTGCAGTGGTGTGATCTTGGCTCACTGCAGCCTCCACCTCCCAGGTTCAAGTGATTCTCCTGCCTCAGCCTCCTGAGTAGCTGGGATTACAGGTATGCACTACCGTGCCTGGCTCATTTTTGTATTTTTAGTAGAGACATTTCACCATGTTGGTCAGGCTGGTCTCGAACTCCAGCTCTCGTGATCCGCCCACCTCGGCCTCCCAAAGTGCTGGGATTACAGGCGTGAGCCACTGTGCCTGGCCAAGATTTCACTTTTTGTCTTTGAGATGGAGTTTCGCTTTTGTTGCCCAGGCTGGAGTGCAGTGGCATGCTCTCGGCTCACTGCAACCTCCACCTCTCGGGTTCAAGTTAACTTCCTGCTTTAGCCTCCCCAGTAGCTGGGATCACCGGCATGCGCCACCACTCCCAGCTAATTTTGTATTTTTAGAAGAGTCGGGGTTTCTCTATGTTGGTCAGGCTGGTTGCGAACTCCCAACCTCAGGTGATCCACCTGCCTCAGCCTTTCAAAGTGCTGGTATTATAGGCGTGAGCCGCTGGGCCTGGCTGAGATTTCACCTTTTTAAAAAAAAAAAAAAAATTTATTTATCTATTTATTTATAGAGTTGGGGTTTCACTATGTTGGCCAGGCTGCTCTCGAACTCTTGACCTCATGATCCACCACCTTGGCCTCCCAAAGTGCTGGGATTACAGGTGTGAGCCACTGCACCTAGCCCAAGATTTCACTTTTAAATGATCTTTCTGTCCTTTAAGCTGGAGCTGGGGGAAAAAAAAATCTTTCTGGGTGCTGTGTGGGTTTTCTGATGTTAAAGCTTCTGGTGGGAAGCTTTAACCTTTCAGCTCTTGGGGACCCCACCCCCCCCAGTGGTGGCACCAGCCTTGCTTTCTCTTTACTCAAGCCTCCATCAGGAAGTCTTACTGCCTCTACTTCTGAAATACATCCTACATCCCACTTCTCACCTCTTTTATTGCCCTGCACCTTGATCTGTCCAAATTCATCTCTCACCTGGGCTATGACAGCAACCTTGTCTCTGGGGCCTCCTTCCCCAACCCCCTCGTCTGTACCCCACATGCAGCTGGGACCCTGTGAACACCTAAGTCAGGTCCCGTCTCTGCTCAGACCCTCCACTAGTCTCCCTTTCACTCAGGGTAAAAGCCAAAGTCGGCCGGGTGTGGCGGCTCATGCCCTTAGTTCCAGCATTTTGGGAGGCTGAGGCGGGTGGATCACCAGAGGTCAGGAGTTCGAGACCAGCCTGTGCAACATGGTGAAACCCTGTCTCTATAAAAACTAAATAAAAATACATACATAAAATTTAAAAAGAAGGGAAAAAAAGCCAAAGTCTTACCATGCATCCCAAGGCTCTGCACAACCTGGCTGGCACCTCCCTCCCTTCTCCCCACCACATTCTGCTCTGGCCATGCTGTCCCCACCAGGTGCATTCTATCGGGGCCCCAGCCATACCATCCCCATCAGACACTCCCCCTTCAGGGCCTTGGCTCTAGCTGTTGCCTCTGGCTGGGAGCACTCTTCCTCTAGATATCCGCATGGCCCACTCTCTTCCTTCCTTTTTTTTTTTGAGACGGAGTTTCGCTCTTGCTACCCAGGCTGGAGTGCAATGGCGCGATCTCGGCTCACCGCAACCTCCGCCTCCTGGGTTCAGGCAATTCTCCTGCCTCAGCCTCCTGAGTAGCTGGGATTACAGGCACGCGCCACCATGCCCAGCTAATTTTTAGTATTTTTAGTAGAGACGGGGTTTCACTATGTTGACCAGGATGGTCTCGATCTCTTGACCTCATGATCCACCTGCCTTGGCCCCCCAAAGTGCTGGGATTACAGGCTTGAGCCACCGCGCCCGGCCTCCTTCCTTTTTTTTTTTTTTTGTTTTTTGAGATGGAGTCTTGCCCAGGCTGGAGTGCAATGGCATGATCTCGGCTCACTGCAACCTCCGCCTCCCAGGTTCAAGCGATTCCCCGGCCTCAGCCTCCTGAGTAGCTGGGATTACAGGCACGCACTACCACGTCTGGCTGATTTTTGTATTTTTAGTAGAGAGGGGGTTTCATCATGTTGGTCAGGCTGGTCTTGAACTCCTGACCTCATGATCTACCCGCCTTGGTATCCCAAAGTGCTGGGATTACAAGCGTGAGCCACACTTCCAGCCTGTATCCCCTCCTTCCTTTTAGCATTTGCCCAAATGTCACCTTCTTAGTGAAGCTTCCTTGATCCCCTCCTTGCTAAAGCAGTATCCCCACCCTCGCCCTAACCAACTCTGTTTTTCCCTACAGCAATTACCACCATCTGATCTACCCCTATAATTTGCTTATTTACTACATTGGTTGTCTAGGATACCAGCTTCACAGGGGCAGGAATTTTTGTCTGCTGTCCATGTTCACGTCCACCATGTCCCCCACTAGCTAGAACAGGGCCTAGCAGAGGGGAAGGGGCTCAGCATGACATTAGATGGGGGCTGGACCTCCAAGAGCTTTGACTACCAGACTGAGGAGCTGAACTGTGTTCTGAGGACATGGGCAGAGCTATGGAAGGAGAGAAAGATGCTTCCAGATGCCAGGCGTGGTAGCTTATGCCTGTAATCTCAGCACTTTGGGAGGCCAAGGCGGGCGGACCATGCGGTCAAGAGATTGAGACAATCCTGGCCAACATGGTGAAACCATCTCTACTAAAAATACAAAAATCAGTTGGGTGTGGTGGTGCACACCTGTAGTCCCAGCTACTCGGGAGGCTGAGACAGGAGAATCGCTTGAACCTGGGAGGTGGAGGTTGCAGTGCGCCAAGATCACACCATTGCACTCCATTCTGGCGACAGAGAGAGTCTCCGTCTCAAAAAATAAAAAATTAAAAAAAAAAAAAAAAGGAAGAAAAGAAAGATGCTTTCAGATGCCAGGTGGAAGGTGGATTAGAGAAGGGCAAGAAAGGCCGGGCACAGTGGCTCACGCCTGTAATCCCAGCACTTTGGGAGGCCAAGGTGGGCAGATCACCTGAGGTCGTGAGTTTGAAACCAACCTGACCAACATGGAGAAACCCTGTCTCTACTGAAAAAACAGAGAAAGAGAGAGAGAAAGGCAAGAAAGAAGGCAAGGCCCTGGGCCCAAAGAGAACAGGGCGGGGACGTAGGGAGAGAAGGCAGGAGGCGTCCCTGACAAGGCCCACGATGGTGACCTGGGGACTGGAGGAGCAATGGGCTGCCCTAACATGGGGTCATGGAGGAGGTGACCGCAGAGAGGAAAGTCAACAGAGGCCTGATGAGAAGCGCCTTGAATGTTGAGGAGGGCACTGGGGAGCTATGGAAGGATCTTGAGCAGGGGGAGTAACATCGATTTGGAAAAATCTGTTTGGCCGTTGTGTGAGGGTAGATGAGAGGGTAGGAGCCTAGAAAGGAGGCTGGGTTGGAAACCCTAGGACAGAAACCCAGAGAGGAAGGGACTGGCCCTGGGGTGCCCAGTGGTCATCGAGGAGGAGGGAATCAGGAGCAGGAGGCTAGTCCCCACCCATCCCTTCTCTCCCTCCTTTCCTACAGGCTGGCCCCGGCTCCATTTCCAGGTGTGGTCCCAGGACAGCTTTGGCCGCTGCCAGCTTGCAGGCTATGGATTTTGCCATGTGCCCAGCAGCCCAGGCACCCACCAGCTGGCCTGCCCCACATGGCGGCCCCTAGGCAGTTGGCGGGAGCAGCTGACACGGGCCTTTGTGGGTGGGGGGCCGCAGCTGCTGCATGGGGACACCATCTACAGTGGTGCCGACCGCTATCGCCTGCACACAGCTGCTGGTGGCACCGTGCACCTGGAGATCAGCCTGCTGCTGCGCCACTTTGACCGCTACGGCGTTGAGTGCTGAGGAACCCTGCCTCCAACGCCACCACCACCTGCACCCCTGCCCCGTGAGGGGCAGGATGGCACAGGGGTCAAGAGCACGGACTCTGGAGACCGTCAGAGCTGACCCCAGCTAAGGCATGGCACTGCTTCTGTCCTTGCGAGGACTTCTGGCTCACTCTAGGCCCAGTTTCTGTATCTGTAAATTGGGGACAGTAAATGTGTAGGGTCGCAGGGTGTTGGGTCAAGAGGCTGCTTGGTACAAGGGAGGTGCTCAGTAAAGGAGAACAATTCCTACAGGTGTCTGCCTCCTGACTCCTCTATTTCTCTGTTCCTCCTCCCACTGACACCCTCCCCAGGCCCCCACCTTGACAGACCCTCTTCCCCAGCCTGTGCCCCAACCTAACACTCTTCGCATTCTGGGTCGTCCTCCCCTGGTCGGTTCCCCTGTGTCTCATCCCCCGGATTAAGCCTTCTGCGCGTGGTCCTCTTTCTCTGGTGACCCACGCCGCCCCGCAAAGCCACAGAGCATCTGTATCACCCGCTTTGGTGGCGCTTGGCCGCCAGGAGGCAGCACCCTGTTTGTGGGGCGGAGCCGGGGTGCCCGCCCCCTTTCCCCCCCAGGGCTGAAGGGACCCCCCTCGGAGCCCGCCCACGCGAGATGAGGACGGTGGCCCAGCCCCCCCATGCCCTCCCCCTGGGAGCCGCCCCCGCTCCCGCCCCGTGAGCTTCCTGGGTGGGGCCGGGGCGGCTTCAAAACCCCCCCGCCGACCTAGTGGGTCCCCGCCGCCGCCACCGCCGCCCTTCGCGCCCTGGGCCATCTCCCTCCCACCTCCCTCCGCGGATCAGCCAGACAGCGAGGGCCCCGGCCGGGGGCAGGGGGGACGCCCCGTCCGGGGCACCCCCCGGCTCTGAGCCACCCGTGTGGCCGGCCTCGGCCCGGAGCGGAGGAAGGAGTCGCCGAGGAGCAGCCCGAGGCCCCAGAGTCTGAGACCAGCAGCCGCCGCAGCCGCCCCCGCCACTGCGGGGAGGAGGGGGAGGAGGAGCGGGAGGAGGGACGAGCTGGTCGGGAGAAGAGGAAAAAACTTTTGAGACTTTTCCGTTGCCGCTGGGAGCCGGAGGCGCGGGGACCTCTTGGCGCAACGCTACCCCGCGAGGAGGCAGGACTTGGGGACCCCAGACCGCCTCCCCTCACCGTCGGGACGCTTGCTTCCTCCCTGCCCCCTACACAGCGTCCTGCAGGCGCCCCTATTCTGGACCAGCCCTCGGGAGTCGCCGACCCGACCTCCCGCAAATACTTTTCCCCAGACCTCGGGCGCACCCCCCTGCACGCAGCGTTCATCTCCGGCCTGTCTCCCGAGTCCCCGCGCATCCTAGACTCTCCTTTCTCCCCCAGGAGACGGATCTCTCTCCGACCTGCCACAGGTCCCCTATTCAAGACCACCCACCTTCTGTACCAGATCTCGCCCATCTAGATTATTTCCGTAGGATACTGAGACACCCCGGTCAGAGCCTCCCCTCCACCACTGCGCCCTGAGGACCTCAACTTTCCCTTGAGGCCCTCCTGCCTTTTCCCCGGAGACCCCCAGCCCCTGCGGGGGCCCCGCCGCACCAGCCCTGTTCGTGCTCTCGACAGTGCCGGGGGGCGCCGCCTCCCCCATGCCGCCCTCCGGGCTGCGGCTGCTGCCGCTGCTGCTGCCGCCGATTCTGTGGCTACTGGTGCTGACGCTCGGCCGGCCGGCCGCGGGACTATCCACCTGCAAGACCATCGACATGGAGCTGGTGAAGCGGAAGCGCATCGAGGCCATCCGTGGCCAGATCCTGTCCAAGCTGCGGCTCGCCAGCCCCCCGAACCAGGCGGAGGTGCCGCCGGGCCCGCTGCCCGAGGCCGTGCTCGCCCTGTACAACAGCACCCGCGACCGGGTGGCCGGGGAGAGCGCCGAGCCGGAGCCCGAGCCGGAGGCCGACTACTACGCCAAGGAGGTCACCCGCGTGCTCATGGTGGAAACCCACCACGGTAAGTTCGGAGGGGCAGGGGAGTCTGGAGGGGGACCCCCAGGGGGCGCCGGAGTGCCGGGGCCACGGGGAGGAAGTGACTGGCAGAGGAAAACTGGCCGGAGGAACAGGACCCCCGGGGCTCAGGGAACAGGGGATGGCCGGAGGGGGTGTCGAAAGAGGATGGCACTGAGCCCTCTACCCACCAGGTGCCTGGTCTTGGAGAGGAGGAAATAGCCAAGTGGACCACTTCTGCAGGGCGACAGGAACATGCGGGGTCGCGGGGGCAGTCCCCTAGAGGGAGAGAAGTAATAGGGAGAGGGTAGAAGAAGGTTCCCTCTTCAGGACGTGTTGGATGAGGGGGTCCGTGGGGTGGGAGCTGCAGAGATGGGGGAGCCTGGTGTGGGTGAAGCGAAAACGCCAGGATTTAGGAAAAGAGAGGCACGGGGGAAAGTCGACCCGGAGCGCGGGGGTCCTGAGGTGGAAAGTTTCAAGAAAGACAGAAAAACTAGATGAAGGCCACCCCAGGGGGTGCCAGGAAAGGGACAGCGGACCCCCTTCCAGAGGCTGCGAAGAACACGCAGGGTGCGAGGCTGGGGGAGAGTCGTGGAAAAAGAAACAGCGGTTGGTGTGATAAATGTGGGGAGAAAGGAAGACGAGGTTATCGGAAGGAGGAGGCTAGCAGGAGAGGAGCGGAGACCCGCGAGGGCGCCCAGGATGCGGAGGTGTCCTCGGTGTTTCCCGCTGGGACTTGAGGGAAGAGCGGGGAGCCCAGCGGAGGAATCGAGCTCTCAGGAGACCTAGAATTCTGGGTCTGGGGAAGGGCTTTACCGAGAGGGGAGACAAGCGTGGGAAAGGTGGTGTGAGCGGGGCAGAGGAGAGAATACCCAGCGCCATCTACACTGCGAGTCCCCACCTCGCCGCAGGATGGAGGGGAATGGGCTGAGTAGAACCCAGCCGCTGGGGAAGTGCTGGGTTGGGGGTGAGTCTACAAGACCACGGTGAGAAAATCAAGCTGGGAGGGGTGAGAAAGCCCCACGTGGGTGCCACGCGCGGGGGGAGGAGCCTGCTCTTCCACCAAACGGCAAGAGGACCCCACTGTGCTAAACGCTGGCAGTCTGGAGCCCAGAGTCAGTTCCTCTCCGGGTGGCTGGGGAAACCCCAGCGTCCGGCCGCCTCACCCTCCTCCCTTCCCTTTCCTTCCCATGCCCCCGGTGGGGGCGGGGATCGCGCGCGGAGCCCGGGGCGAGACGGGGCAGGTCTGGTCCCCGCCCTCCTGGCTGTGGCGCCTCCTGCCCTCCTCACCCCAGCTATGGGCGGGGCTCCCGCTGGGACGGCCCGGTCGGCACCCACGCGAGGACCTGGGCGTCCCGCGTGGTTCAGAGCCTGGGGGAAGGTCCCTCAGGTTTCACTGACTCTTGCGCAGTGGGGGCTTGCGGGTCCCCGGCCAATTTACTGCTCCAGCCCAGTGACGCCCACTCCGCACCCAGGTCTTAGTCTCGCCTTCTCTTCGCTTCATCTTCGTTGTAGAGGTTCCTTTAACACTGACCCCTCCAATCCTGTTCTCCCCACAAATGCCTCTGTGTCTCTTCTCCCCACGTGTCTCCCCATTTCGTCTCCGTTAGTCTCTCTGTCCACACCTGGGGCTCCTGGTTTTGTCCCTCTGACTTTTCTCTCCCTGTTTTTCTTCTCGGACCTCCCCTCTCCTCTGTCGCTGCCATCTCCCCACCTCTCCCTCTCTGCAGCACCCCCCAGCCCTTGCTCTCCCTCCTCTCTCTCTCCTTCCCTATCTGTCTTCCCCAGCCAAGGTTCTGCCTTTCCTTTAGGGTTTGCTGAGTAACCTCTGGGCCAAGAATAGGGCTTATTGGGGCTCGGTGGGGAGGGAGACTGGGGAGGAGGAGGAAGAGGGAAGGGGGCCCTAGGAAGGGGTTTCCTCTGCCTTTCTCACCAGGCTCTTTTCTCACTATTTTCACCGCCCCACTAGAGGAGGCTGGCAGCAGTTGCCCCGGTTGATCCAGGGGTTCGTGGCTTGTTCCCTCAATCCCAACCCCAACCTTTTCCTAAACTAGAAAACACCTTGGCTGGGTGCAGCGGCTCACGCCTGTAATCCCAGCACTTTGGGAGGCCAAGGCCAGTGGATCACCTGAGGTCAGGAGTTTGAGACCAGCCTGGCCAACTTGGCGAAACCCATCTCTACTAAAATTACAAAAATGAGCTGGGCAGAGTGGCAGGCGCCTGTAATCCCAGCTACTCGGGAGACTGAGGCAGGAGAATAGCTTGAATCGGGAGGTGGAGGTTGCGGTGAGCCGAGATCACGCCACTGCACTCCAGCCTGGGCCACAGAGTGAGACTCCCTGTCAGAAGAAGAAGAAAACACCCACATTCCTTTTCTCCCCACTGCAGCCATTTCTACCCAGAATGAACTTCACTTTCCCTAACCAGCTGGGGAAGGGAGTTAAGGGTAGAAAACTAATAATAAAAAGTAGAAGAATCACATAGGGGTTAAGAGCCCAATCTCTAGCCTCTCAACATATTGGGAGGCTGAGGCGGGAGGAATTCCAGCCTGCAGTGAGCCATGGTTGTGCTACTGTACTTCAGCCTGGGGGATAGACTGAGACCCTGTCTCTGGGCGGGGGGGAAAAAAGGCACAGTCTCTGGAACCAGACAGCTTGAGTTGGAATCCTAGTCTGCAGCTTCCTAGCTATGTGGTCTTGGGGCAAATTACTTAATCTCTGTGCCTCAGTTTCTCCATCTATCAAATGGGTATAATAATAGTATAAGATTGTAAGGTTTAAATGTCTTCATCTTTGTAAAGTGCTTTAAATAGTATCTGGCAAATAGTGCTTTTTGTTTTATTTATTTATGTATTTTTTAAAGACGAGGTTTCTCCATGTTGGTCAGGCTGGTCTCAAACTCCTGACCTCAGGTAATCTACCCACTTCAGCCTCCCAAACTGCTGGGATTACAGGCATGAGCCACCACCCCCCAGCTAATTTTTTTTTTTTTTGAGACACAGTCTTACTCTTGGCCATACTATAACCTCTGCCTCTCGGGTTCAAGCGATTCTCCTGCCTCAGCCTCCTGAGTAGCTGGGATTACAGGTACCCAGCACCACGCCTCACTAATTTTTCTTTTTTTAAAATTGTTTGAAATGGAGTCTCACTCTGTCCCTGAGGTTGGAATGCAGTGGCACAATCTCGGGTCACTGTAACCTCCGACTCCCAGGTTCAAGTGATTCTCGTGCCTCAGCCTCCCGAGTAGCTGGGATTACAGGCACCCAACCAACACCGTGCCTGGCCAATTTTT